CTAGTAAAACTTTGTCTCCGCAATTAAAATAAAAAAAAAAAAGGTTCAAAGCCAACCATTTACTCTTATTTTTTGATAACTTAATATCTTCCATTCAAATCCACCAAATATTAATCCTATTTTACAAAATTACAAGGTTTCAAGCACAAAATCCCCCTACAGATTATCTTCCAAGAGAAATAGGAATGTATCATCCAAATAATAACATAAACACAATAATTAAGTCGAGCTCACCTTTATTCCACTATCTTGTTTTCTCTTCTCCGCTTTGCTCTGTAAAAAAAACAAGAATGGTCATCTCAATTCGAATACAATCACTGTAAACACTTTAGAAAAGCGATCAACTTAAAGGATACAAAACTAAGAATCAATTGAAGTAAAAAGTTGCATTGTGTGACCATGTTTAGCTAACCTTACGAAAAAGTACTTTGTTTAGTTCCAAATATTGTTTGGTACTATTTTCCCATTTTTCAATAGTAAGTTACTTATTTTGCTCTAAATTCTAATTTTAATCAATTAAAGAAATATAAATTTTACACGCTCATTTAATTATAAGTAAAGTTTCTTATGAGTAAACTTTTTACACTGAGCCAAATTCCTCTTTGTCAAATCACCTGTGATGTTATAGGGTAGAGGAACAGGACGGCGAGTACGAGCTTTGGAACCATTTCCAGAAGTTCTTCATCCAATCCATAAACATCAAAGCATTCTGCCTCATCCAGTGGAACGCCAAGTCCCCAGAGAAACTGCAAACCAAAAATTTTCTCACATAAACAGTTCGTCATACGTTAATAATTATTTAATATATATATATAGGAAATCGATGTGGAATTGTATCGAACCTGGTTCATAACATCAGGATTAGCTTCAAGAGGAAGCCATCTCTTAGCAGATGTGCTATCCGCCATTTCTTCTCTCCTTTTAAAGCAGTCTCTCTTTCTGGAATATCAAACAGGAGTTTTGTTCTGTAAGGACATCTTTTGTGGCACATGCATGGGTTTTAGGAAATTTATCTTTCAATTTCAGGTGAAACCCCTCTTGTTTTAAATGTTTTCAAATTGGTCATTTATATTTGTTAAAGAATTATGGGAAAATTACCTCAAAACCTTTAAAGTTTCAATTTCAAAAATCAGGCCTTAATTATACTTTTCAATAATCAGATTTTTAATATAAAAACTTATATATACCCCTCTATTGATAATAAAGGAAGTCAATGAGTAGAGCCGAGCGGAGCCAGCTCACAAGACAAAGCTTGAAGCTTTTGGCTCGTGTAAAAATGATTTGGGCTTTTTGGCTGGAGCTAAGCTTTTGTTTAGCCAAAAAATTTAGGTTCAACTCAAGTTTTTAGCCCAGGTCTTATCGAACTAAGTAGGCTCTTTTTTTCTTTTTAATAAAAAGAGGCAGTAGGCACTACTGCCTGTATTGCAGCTGCCAAAGATTTATTATCATTATTTTTTTAATTTGCTCACTGATCGTTGACTCGATAAGCTACACAGGCTAGCTCAGGCTCGGGCCAACGCTCTAGAATAAGGTGCTATCTGAGCTAGGCTAGTTCAGACTTTTTTGAATCTTACTAGGTCACCAGAGTCAACGAGGCAAATTAACATCCCTAATTATAAGATCCACCCCATATATTAGTATATGTTTACATATATGTGTGTGTGTGTGTATATATATATATATATATATACACATATATGTATATTGTGGTTAATAGGTTACCACCCCCACTCCTATCCCTACCTCCATTATAAATAACTTCTTCGGCATTACTCGCTTTCTCTCTCTACAAATGAAAAAGAAACCCATCTCTCTCTTTGCTGCATGACTCTCTTTCTCTCTCTACAAATGGAAAGGAACTCCTCCTCTATCTATCTAAAAAGATTAGATCTGTTAGTCTTTTGTCGTAATTAAGTCTATTTACACATGTATTTGAGCAATCCTAAAGGTGTTGAAATGGTTGTCGATTGATATGTATATATATATATATTGTGGTTAATAGGTTACCACCCCCACTCCTATCCCTACCTCCATTATAAATAACTTCTTCGGCATTACTCGCTTTCTCTCTCTACAAATGAAAAAGAAACCCATCTCTCTCTTTGCTGCATGACTCTCTTTCTCTCTCTACAAATGGAAAGGAACTCCTCCTCTATCTATCGAAAAAGATTAGATCTGTTAGTCTTTTGTCGTAATTAAGTCTGTTTATACATGTATTTGAGCAATCCTAAAGGTGTTGAAATGGTTGTCGATTGATATGCTTGTAGAGGAGCAATACAGTGGCCATTTGGCATTGGCGATTGCCTGCGTAAGGTAGGAGGAGGTGGCAATGGAAGGGGATGGATAGAAGGGAAATGGGTATTGGAGACGATATAACAAGAAAGATAGATGAAAGAGGGTTTGTAAGTGTTAGTGCTAGTGGTGTTTGAGGTAAGCGTATTATTTATGGTTTTGGATTTGAGCTGAAGGTGATAGTGGTGATGCATTGAGAGTGATGGTTGTCGTGACTAGTGGGGTTTGTCTGCGAAGTATGCTAATTTGTTTGTGGTGACCCTCTATGATCAAATATGTGTTTATTGTAACTGGTTGTGATCAATTCTAGATTGATTAAAACTTGATTGCATACTGTCATAGTTAAGATTGACTGGTTATAGACAAACATGCTAAAGATAAATTTGATCACAATTAGTTATAGATAACAAAAATTAGTGACTTAGATAGACACAAATTAAACGGTTACAGACAATCACACTGAAAATAAATTCAATCACAGTTAGTCAAAGATAACACAAGTTAACGACTTAGAGACATACATCCACAAATTAGACGATGACAAACAGTATACAGAAGACAAATTTGGTCATAATTAATTGTATATAGCACAAGTATGTTAAAAAAATTTGATCGCATATAACACAATTAGTCACAAATCGGGGGTGATTCCGTGGGGTGGGTGATGAGAATTGAAGTTATTTGCTCCGATAAGTACTCTGTAGATTACACCAGGGGATGTTTTTCCATTTCTAAATTTAAAAAATAGTTTTGAATTACACTAACACCGCTCAGTCACCTCCGAAAAAGATTACCAGTCGTTGGTAATGCTCAGTCGATGTTCTCCAACAACCATTATATTTCTTTTTCTATCTCTAAGCCGATAATGCTCAGTCACCATTGAGTGGCTATTAGTTTGCTGCTGAACAAGTCATTGTCAGAGTGAGGATGGGTGGATTAATTTAATGGGAAAAAATCATATATACATACAAGCAAAAAACAAATTCATTTTTTACTGTAATATAATATTATGCCCTTGTTTGATCCCCATTCTTTGGAGAAAATGAATACTTCTATAATGTATTGACATAATTTCAACCACACATTCTTCAATAAAATAATATTACTCGCAAATTTAAAAATTTTCTTTATTTTTTAATCACACATTTCACATCAATACACTATTCAAAAATTCATTTTTCCCCTCAAAATGGGGCTCAAACAAGGGCTATATATTTATTTCACTACGCATACACATAAAAAAAAAAGGAAATACTGACTATAAGACCTTTCCTATTTTGAGGCGTAACTGAACACGCTTAGCCAAGAATCAAGAACAGCAATCAATAAGTTATTACTTCATAGGTGGATTTTCAAAATGAGTGAGACAATGTAATAGCAGTAGATTCTTCTTTCAAAAATCACCATCACGATGAAGAGAGCTTTCTTCACGTCACATTTAGCGAATTGTTAAAATTAAATAAATGCCATCTTCGATTATCAGGGTTCTTGTAGGATTTATCTTTCCTAAAAATTTCGACTACTGGGGTATTTAATAGATTTTCTATATTTATTGATAATTTGTGTATTGTATATTTAGTTGTAGGTGATTAGCTTGTAATCCTTGAATCCGATCGGTACGTGGTAATTCATTTTATCATTCTTACACCAAGATACATTGAGTAATATATTAGACCGTGTGTTAAAATTATTTCTATACTTAATAGGTTATTGTGTAAAACACATGAGGAATAATTTGGTTATTGTTTTCAAAATTTTGAAAAGTCCTATAATATCGATTTGGATTCTAAATAATATCACATGATGTTATGTATCGTATGAAGTGTGTATATTTATCATTGATCAATATTATAAATGCCTTCCCCCGATCATATCAGCTTGTCTTGAAACCTATATTATTGTGTAGATGTAGATATGGAGTTGGTGAACGTGGTATGGATGAGGTTTTCAAAGAACAAGAGTATCGCACAAAGAACATTCACAAGACTTGTGTCAAAACTAGAAAAAAATGTTGAGAACTAACGCAAAGAGCTCATTGAAACTCAATGTTAGATTTGAATAATTAAAAGTACCTTTAGATAGTTCATTTATTTGATTGATATTTTGCGACTTTCGATTTATGTAATACACGAAATGAATTGTTGTTCAACTTGGCATACGAAAAGAAAACAATTACTTTGAATTTATAATGATTTTGTACTTATACAGTAATGGTACACAATTACATTGATTTATTACAAATGACATGAGATCGCATGTAGTTCTTAACATGAAATTCATGATTTCAGGTTGTCTACATCAAATGAATTCTTGTATCAAATGTCGATGATAACTCACATGTTGAAGCTTTGAAGTTGATTACATACACGTGCAATCAATTTCAGGTGGATGGAGTTTTGTGTAAACACGGATTATTTGTAATCGACGACAAGGGTGAACAAGCATAAAATTTTTGTTCCCAATACGCATGAAGGATATTTACCTAGGTAGTTAATCTGGTTCTGTTGTACTACTTGGAGATCGTACCTAATGGAAAGTAGATAATTGTCGATGTCATGGTGAGATATTACCTCCTAGATCAAAGATGCAAATTGTAAAATGCATAGAAAGTTGGGAAGAGAAGAGAATGAGCATAGCCAAATTCTAGAGAAGTGGAAAGGAAGTTAATTGTATCTTAGTTTGGGACACCATATATTATATTCTATGCTTACCATTGAGTCAATAGTTTTTATTCTCAAGATATAAAATGAAATAATTTGTTTCATTCTCCTCTTTTCATGCTCTCTCTCCTTCATACCTTTGTATGGTTACTTGCATACTAAAGAGAATGGAGTTGATAATATAAATAATGAAAACCTTGAATAAGAAGGTAAGAAAACATATCGCAACCAACTCCGAGAAGCTTCTCCGGAGTCGAGACCAAAGTTCGTAGATGCTTTAAAACTCAACTTCAAAACTGTTAAGAGTATTTGTATACCACACCATGTATGTCAGAAACACTCATTCTCAACTCTATGTCTTTGCTTGAGTTAAGGTTTACAGAATGTTTAATATTTTCTATATCGAACGTATCGGTTTCATTACTTTAACATTTTAAAGCATTATTTACTCGATGTCAATGATCAATGCACTTGAACACAAATTAGATCTACAAATTTTCTTCTTTATCTTTACCTCCCCCATGGAAGTATGTTAATCATCACAACTTTAATTGTTTATATGAATTGTTAAGCCATCACCAGTAGTTAGAAATTCAAATTAAAAGAATACTAGTGGCAAACAGGGTTGGTGCCCAACACAGATAACTGCTACTTTTGTTTGTTAACTTATAATTGAATTCCAAAAATCTTGTATTTCAATATTATAGCTAGAATTGCCTTTCGTCAGCTTCCCAACCAACATCAGCACGAGAAGAAATCAAAAGAATTAACCCTTGAGTAAGGAATTGAGATATGATTTTGTGGAGGTCTTGGAGAGTATTGAAGAGTTTTTGGTTTTGATTTTCGAAAATTCTTTGTTCAGCGGTACAATGGTAAAGTTGAAGAATGGAATTTACTAGGACGTAATTTGTGGGTGGGTTATACGACGTGTTTGGTGGAATAATTTCAGTTATTACTATCTTAAATATGGGATAGAGTATACTTTCCATTTTTCAGATATACTACATATATTGCAGTAATGTAAAAAGGGAATTTTTAGTAAATTGTAGGTATCTGGTGACATTTCCTCTAATTTAGCCCCTGTTTGTTTATCATTTTTGAAAGAATAAGAATGAAAAATATAATCGTTATGGGCCTCACACGAGAGATAGAAATTCAAATTTGGTGATTTGATGTGATGGATAACGATTATATTTTTCATTTTAATGAAGAAAGAATGAAACCAGACAGGGGTTTAATTTTAGTGCTATTGTTTCTGGGTTGCTCAGGGAAGTTTCGGCCCAGATAATTTTGGCTGATTTGGGCCTTCCTTAAACAAGGCCCGACCCGGACCGTCCGCTAGATGCAATGAACCTTATCCCATTCAGTCCCCATCCACTGGGGTTCGAAGGATTAGGTTTTGCTTCATCTTCTCATTCGTGGTTCGTCTGCCGCATTTTCTCACAGTAAAAAATGTCCCTCTCTCTAGGATCTATTTTTCATGGATTCCCAGTGACTAGAGATTTTTCTTGATTCCTCATTGTCTTCACTTAACTGTGTCTATCTATCTATCTATCTATCTGTTTAATTATCGAAAATTTGATAAATGGCCACTATAAACCCATTTGATCTTTTGGGTGATGATGACACGGAGGATCCAAGTCTGCTCATTTCTGCTATGCAGCAGAAAGCTCCGGCTCCGGCTCCGGCCAAGAAGGCTCCAGTTCAGGCTCAGCAGGCGGCTAAGCCTGAAGCTAGGCTTCCAGCTAAGCCTCTACCACCTGCTCAGGCTGGTAAAATAATTATTACTACACTTGACCTTTTCACTTTCACCTTCATTTATGTTGTTTTTGCTTTTGGATTAATTGAGTGAACGTTCTAAAATTTTCAATTGGTTTTTATGGATGTTGGTTTGTGCAACTCAATTAATTTGATGGGACTTCGAAACGATATTTGAATCTCATGTTATTTCACATGCACTTGTGCTCTCATAGTGTAAATTTTTATATTTTATGTTTCCTTGCTAAGGACACTGAAAATGAAAGAAAGGTAGGAATGTCTCTTTAGAAAAATGTATTTTTGCATTATCTCTTCGAAGTTTATGGAAAATGTGAGTGGAATGGATTAAATATATTAATATTTAAATGGTTTGAAATTTGTAAAACGATCTTTTGCATTCCCCAAGATATGAACACTTGTTACAATAACTTTCACGATTGTACCTCTCTTATCATCAATAAAAGTACAGTCTATTTGCTCAAATTTAGTGTTCCAGTTGTAGTATATTCAGGTGTAAGAATAATGCTTTCTATTGATGCAGTACTTTGTCCTTGGCCTGCTTGTATAATAATCATTTCTTTCTTTCTATTGTTGTTGTCTTTAGTTTTTGCTCCAGTTACGAGTTCTTGTGGAAACTGCACGATTTAGGATTCCCACCTGCTGAATCATGTCTGATGTATATTGCATGTTTTTGATCTCTCATAGATAGTTTTACTGTGGAATGTTATTGTCATCGCTATTCATGCTTCCATTTTGAATTTCACTATTAGCAGAAATAGGACTGGACAGTGCCCATTATCTCCATTTTACATTTACTCGTTTTAACCATTTATTTCGCAAAGGCTATATCATCTGTTCTTCCATTCTGTGTCTGACTGGAGATATTCTGGTGTTTATTGGTTTTCTAGTTTAACACTCACTACGTGTCTATCCATCTTGAGCAGTGAGGGAGGCAAAGAATGAAGGTGGTCAGCGTGGAAGAGGTCGTGGTGCGGGACGCGGGGGTGGTCGTGGCCGTGGATATAATCGAGATTCTGCTGACAATGAAAATAAATTTGGAAACAACAATGGGTTTGCTGGTCAGTACAGGGTTTCAGAAGATGGAGATGCTGGAAATCCATCTGAAAGGCGACCACACGGTGGACCTCCAAGAGGTGGGGATTTCCGTGGTGGTCGTCGTGGTGGTTTCAGTAATGGGGAGACTCCTGATGGTGAACGTCCTCGAAGGGCATTTGATCGCCGCAGCGGAACTGGGCGCGGGTGAGAGATTTATAGAGTTTTTACTCCTTACTATCAATTTTATTTATTTGTAATTTCAGAATAAATTTTTTTAAGAGTTTACAATTTTGCCTTTTTTTCCTACTTCTCCGGGTATGAATTGTGCAGAACCTTATAATGTTGTATTTCAAAATTTCATGTTGTTGTCTTGTCATCTTGTTATTCACTATTTCTGTTGCAGAAACGAGTTTAAACGTGAGGGATCTGGTCGTGGAAATTGGGGGGCACCCACTGATGAGATTGCCCAGTAAGTACTTGAATCTCAAAGTTTAGCTATTATTATGCCCCTATTTGAGACCCTTTTTGAGAAAAATGGATTTTGTAATCGTGATTTTGGAGGTGTAATTAAAAAGTAAGGAAACGTTTTAGGTTTATGTGCAAAATTATTCTATGGGAGGATGTGTGGTTGATGATGAGCTTTGGAAAAAATGAGTTTTGATTAAAACACAAAAAAAAAAAAAAGAAAAAAAAAAAAAAAAAAAAAAAAAAAAAAAAGAAAAAAAAAAGAAAAAGGGAAAGGAGCTCAAACAGGTGCTATATGTGAATGGGATTTACATAGTATGAGTACCATTCTTAAGTAAATGTTCTATGTTGTTACTTAATGCAGGGAAACTGAAGAACCTGTTACTGAAGGAGAAAAGAACATTGATGCTGAGAAGGAACCTGAACAAGATGTCACTGATGCTAACAAGGATTCTTCTGCAAATGAACAAGAAGAGAAGGAGCCTGAGGAAAAGGTGACATTCCTGACTGTATACTCAAAGGGTGGAAAACACTGATAACTAGTTTCTTCAACTGCATTCATTATATTAGTTTCATGTACTGACATTAAGAGATCAACTTCTATCAATTTCCAATGACTTAGTAGTAACTAAATAGTCTTCGCCTATAGCAGCCATCACATTATTTTTGCTTTGCTGACATTCAGTTGGAGACTGTCTTTTGTGAATTATGGTAGAATCTTGTTGGGAGACAAGGAAAGCAAGGCGGAAAACATTAGATGCACATGTGAGTTATGCACACAGGTTGTTGGAACTTTGAATCATCCCTTGAAAATTAGTCGAGGCTCAATTTAGTGAATACCAACAAGAGTCTACCATAATTCATAGAAATGTAATCAATGACACAATTGAAAAACTCACTATACCTACAATATTAGGCATGAACGATCAGAACCTTATTGAATTGGATGGCTTATGCCGGTACATAAGTTAGAACTTAGTCCATTGAAGGAGGCTTGTATATAGCTGGAGTTGATGATCTACTGCACATGGTCTTTTATATAAATAACAAAGGAAGATTCTCTAGAGTGTGGTGCTACTCAAGCATTATACCATAAAACGAGAGTGACTGAATCATATATTTACTTGATCTCTCTCTTGAACTTTGTTAAAACGCGGAAGAAGTTTATGTGTAGGGAGCAAATTAACGTTAGGAAATGATGATTATAAAAGCGCTACAAGTCTTTTGTACTTTGTTTCTCATATTGTGCATGCTATTATTTAGTCTGTCTGGCAACTAGGAAAATAGCAATGGTATATCCACTTTGTTCTGAAGGGGCTACTCATTGTTTGTATACGAGTCTTCTATGATTTGTATGCGAAGGGGTCAAATGACCATGATAAGCTAACTGATGGATGACAATATTTGTGGTCCGCCACTGCAACAGGTGATGACTCTGGAGGAGTATGAGAAAGTACTGGAAGAGAAGAGAAAGGCACTGCTCGCTATTAAATCTGAGGAAAGGAAGGTCAATTTGGACAAGGAACTTGAATCCATGCACCTTCTGTCCAACAAGAAAAATGATGATGAAGTCTTTATCAAATTGGTGAGCTTATTCTTTTGATCAATGCTAAATTTAGTTTCAGTAACTTAGAATCAAGTTTATTGATTCTGCTGAAAATCTTGGCAAACTGGACAGGGTTCTGATAAAGATAAACGAAAAGAAGCTGTTGAGAAGGCCAAAAAGGTATGTTCACGTCTTGATCTACATGGTTGCACTTCCTATTACTTCCAATTTGATGAAAATTTGCTGCATAATCTGGGGATAATTTCTGAAGGAATGGTCATTGACATGCTTCAAACTCCCACCCCCATAAGAAAATAATTTACGCAGACACACAAATGTATGTCTCCAGATGCTGCTAGCAAACATTGAGCATTTATATTGGCTTCTATTGACATTGGAGTCAGTTATATTTTTTGATTCTTTTTATTTCGTATCAAGACTCTATAGGAAGATTGAACTATATAGATGCTTGAGAGATTTAGATTGCTCTTGTTGGAGTTGGTCGTTGGATCAATAGTGTGCGAGTCATGAGCAGAATTGTCTCTCATCTCTGGACTTTGTTGAATTTACATGTCATGTTCCCACCATAGGGCTTTGTTGAATTTAAAGTAAAAAATGATCAAATGCTAATATGTTTTTGCAAAAGAAAAATTCCCTTCCACGAGGTGACCAGTTGGGTTTTAATTTAAGAAGAAAGAAAAATAGTGTGCTTAGCAGCATATGTATGGGAAGGTGTTTAGAAACACTTAAAATCAAAAATACTTTTGGTTAAACTACTTTTTATCCACACATTTTGTAGGACCCACAAGTACTACTCACTTCGACACTACACATTTGTATTTGTTTATAACCCCTATTGTTTATAAACACGTTCCAGAACATATGCTTAGACTTCAGTTCAACAAATTCTTGACAGCATAGAACTTCAATTTTTAGTGTTGATGCACCTTTTGGTTCTATGGGTGAAAATTAACTTATTCCTGTAATTATCTTATTGTGTGTGTGTGTATTTAATTAATTATTTTTTACCACCAGTGAACTGCTTTTAAACCTTTAACCTTCTATATTTTCGAGCTGGGTTAAAAAATGTGATTTAAATGCAACTCTTCCACTTGTCAATTGTTTTTGTTCTCGACTTCTTGTGCAGGCTGTAAGTATAAACGAGTTTCTGAAGCTGGCTGAAGGGGAGAGCTCGTACCAATCCGGTGGCCGTGGCAGGGGCAGGGGACGTGGTAGAGGAAGCTATGGTGGAAGCAATAGGAACAACAAGCAAGCCCCAGCTATCGAAGATGTTGGACAGTTCCCTTCCTTGGGTGGAAAGTAAGGGCTTGCAACCTGCTTTCCCGAGATTGTATCTTTATGGGTCATGTCTGCTATAACAATCCATTGTCCTTCATTGAAAATCATCTGAAAAACTTTGCAGTCATTTTAAGTGTAAATTTAGATGGGTTTAAAGGGTTTTTACGGACTTTGACATTCATGAACTCTCTCTCAGTCATAGCATTAGGGATTTTTTAAATCTTTGATCAAGTTCATGGGTCAGTTTTTTAAATTTGGAGTTGGATTTGAAACAGTTTTGTTTGATTCCAAATATTGGGGTTGCTGAAAGTTTCTGTACGTGCCAGTTTTCAGTGCCTGTCGTACTTGGCATTTATCTGGTGTTGCTGTTGCATCATCTGATCATCTCTCCAACTAATAGAAATACAGGAAGATCACCAGTTAAATATATTCCAATCACCAAGCCATCGGATCTGCACAAGTTTTATCTTCTACAGTAGTTTATGTTGATCGTTAGGAAGTATATATGATTTTCCTCTGCATTGAGCTTCAAAATTTTGGCCTACTGGCATCTTTTTTTACTGCAGTTAGAATGAAAACTGCAAATTATCCCGTTTGAGTCACATTATTGTAAAAATGAGAATGAAAAATATAGTCGTTATGGTTTTACAAGAGATAAAAAGTCAAATTTAATGACTTGATGTGATGTATAACAGTCATATTTTTCATTCTAATGAGTAAATAATGGAGCTCAAACAGGGCCTAAAATAGAACCCTTTCTTGAAATCATTGAATTCTCAAGGATCGGATTCTTGTATTTCTTTGAACAAACAATTTTCTAGGAGCTCTCATCTGAGCATTTATTAAAAAAAGTTCGATTAGACAAATTTTGACTCTGCCACACTTTATGCCTTTCTACATTTAGGTCGTCTAGACTCGTAAAAATTTGAAATTTGATCTTATTCCTTGTCTTATTTAGATCGCTATTTCCAAGTCTAGTGCAGGTAGACCTAGGAGTTAAGTGAGTATCCAAGATCATTAATTACATTGTATGTATGTTGTAAATGGTACGATTCTGATTCTAATAACTATTGACTCGAACTTGAATAGTCAGTTCCATTTACATTTAACGTATAGAATTTAAAAAATAAAAATTGTGAGATGGCAATACATATGATCTTTCTAACATTTAGCAAAAATAGAAAAATAAAATAAACTATCAACTACCCAAATATGCTGCCAAATCGTATTGAACATCAAGGAGAGAGTAACCAAAAATTAGAAATCAACGAAGTATTTTATATAAATGCTAAAACAAAGAAAACAGCATAATAATCAACATTTTCGATTTTTCTTTACATCCCATCGTTTCCTTTGCACCCTATTGGGTCATTGGGTTAGGAAGTATTGTAAAAATAAATATTTATTAAAACATGGCAAAATTGGTTCTAAGGTTAGGTACCCATGATTTCGATTCAAGAATCAAGAAATGTCCAAAATTCAATGGTTCTTGATACTAGGTTCTATTCTTTTTTTGTTTAGAGTCGGTGCTGAACCTCTGATGTCGATTAGCAGGGGCGGATTATCCTCATCCTGTTGATCAAATGGTGGAATAAAGGAAACGATAGGTGGTTGTAATTGGAGGAGCCAACTTTGGGAAACATAGGTTGCACATTAGAGAAAAATAGGAAACCCGTTTGGCCCTCACTATTTTTTGGAGAATATGTATTTAAAAAGAAGGAAATTTTTTTAAATTTACTTGTAATATTATTTTATTAAGTGCTACATAAGGCCTACGATGGAGTATAAGGTCCAAAGTTTCCTAAAGGCACAGTATATATTCTTCAAAGGTTTTAAAATTTATTAAGAAATAATGAAATTAGGAAACTTTAGCACGAAATACGAACAGTAGCATTTTACAAAATTTCCAAGCAAGAATGGAATTGGGACCCTTTCTCTTTCCTATTCTTTTGTTAGAATAAAACCAGTAAATATCTGAAAAATTTGGAGTCGTGACTGCAGTTATCCCAATATTTTATGATAGCACCATTATCCAAATGAAGAAGGTTGAGGCAAATAGACTAAATTGGATAAAATTTAAAAAGAAATTCTAAGTCAGCTGACGTATCCCTTTACCTTAAAAGAGTGGATGTGGGGGTTACTATTCATTTATGAGTATCTCGTTTTCACACCTCTGGTTCACAATTGGTTTCTTACTGTTCATCTCATAAATATCACTACTTTTTTTTTCCTACTTACTATAAGAGGCAATATGTCAATTACTGTTCATTCATGACGTATTTTGAGTTTTCTTATTTTACCCTTCAATATCCCATACTAAATTAATCCACATCTTTTCAACTGAGTATTAAAAATATTCAACATTGTTGTGCTGTTGTTTTGCCTAATTTGAATTTTTACGTTCAAAACAAAATAGTTGACGTCATACCACAAAATAATTTTTTTAAGAATTTACCTTAAAAGAGTGGATGTGGGAGTTACTATTCATTTATGAGTACCTTATTTTCACACCTATCTGGTTCCCAATTGGTTTCTTATTGTTCATCTCATAAATATCACTACTCTTTTTTTTTTTCTTTTTTTTTTCCTACTTACTATAAAAGAGGCAATATGCCAATTACCGTTTATTTAGGACGTATTTTGAATTTTACTATTTTAACCTTCAATATCCCATACTAAATTAATCCACATTTTTTCGACTGAGTAATAAAAATATTCAACATTGTGGTGCTGCTTTTTTTGCTTGATTTGAATTTTTACTTCCAAAACAAAATAGTTGACGTCATATCATATAATATTTTTTTTTTAGAAAATGATGTAAATTATATTGAGAAAATTGTCGTGAAAAAATAACAAAGACGAGTTATACGCATTTTTTAACACACACATTTGATGTACGTTCAGCTATTTTCGATATTCATTTAAATAATTCGATATGTCTATGATATAGTTTTTGAAATGAGTTTCGAAAGAATATAGAAGATTTATGCATTCAACTACCATACAATCGTTGACATATACTACAATAAAAGAGTGAATGTGGCGAGCACTATTCATTCAGGGCGTATTTTGTTTCCTATTTTACCCTTGAATATCTCATAATATTTTACTTCACTCCTAAATTCACTATTAATGGTCTTCCTACCCGTGAGTGATGCTGTTATTTTGCCTGATTTAAATTTTTACATAAAAAAAAAAAAAAAATTTAGTTCACATCATACCACATAATATTTTTTTAATAAAATGATATATATCATATTGCGAAAATTGTCGCTAAAAAATAATAAATGTTAATAAAATAATTGATTTTTAAGGAAAAAAAACGAATTATACGTAATTTTTTAAGATAATTAGCACAAGACGTCCCTACCTTTCTATATTTTTGTGGAAAAAGTCCCTACTTTTCGTTTTTTGGCGGATTACACCCTTACATTTATCTTTTTTTTGCCCAAAACGTCATTCTGTCAACTCCCTGTTAAAATGCTCCGTTAAATCAAAAGGTAATTAGCACAAAAGGTCCATACCTTTCAATATTATTGTGCAAAACGTTCATACCTTTCATTTTTTGGCATAATTAGCACAAAAGGTCTCTCCCTTTTCAATGTTATTGTGCAAAACGTGTCTACATTTCATCTTTTTTATCATTTTCACCCTTACCTTTCACCTTTCATTATGCAAAAGGTCATTTTCATCAATTTTTCAATAAAATAATGATTTTACACTCCTATTGAAATAAAACAAAAAGAAAAGATGAATTACCACCTGCAATCATAGTCCTTAAATTTTTAAAAAATTACAAAGAAATCATAAATTCTCAACTACCACCACTTTCACAACCTATCAAGTTGCCAACTATAAATCCACATAATACCACCTTTCGGCCACCATGCCCATCGGACTCCACCACCGTAAATGTGGTTGTTTCGGACAGATTGGTGACATACTATGGAGAAGGATATTGGGGAGAGTGAAGCAAGGCTGGTGGTGGTGGAATCCGATAGGTGTTGTGATCGAAAGGTAGTGCTATATGGATCTATAGGTGGTGACTTGATGGAGAATTTAGGACTTATCTATAATGTTTTGCAATTATTTTTTATTTTTCTTTTATTTTCTTTTTGTTTTATTTGAATAGGAGGGTAAAATCGTCATTTTATTGAAAAAATGGATAAAAAGGACCTTTTGCGCAATAAAAGGTAAAAGGTGGGGGTGAAAATGCTAAAAATGAAAGGTAGAAACGTTTTGCACAATAACATTGAATGGTAGGGACCTTTTTTGCCAATTATGCTAAAAAATGAAAGGTAGGGACATTTTGCACAATAATATTGAAAGGTAAGGACTTTTTGTGCTAATTATAATTTTTATTTAACGGAGCATTTTAACGGGGAGTTGACAGAAAGACGTTTTGGATAAAAAAAAAAAAAGGTAAAGGTGAGGGTATAATCCGTCAAAAAATGAAAGGTAGAACCTTTTCCACAAAAACATTGAAAATTAGGGACGTTTTGTGCTAATTACCCTATTTTTTAATACATACGTTTGATATACGTTTAACTATTTTCGATATTTATTTAGATAATTCGATATGTCTATAATATAGTTCTCAAAATGAGTTTTGAGAGAATATATAAGATTTATACATTCAACTACCGTACAATTATATATATATTAAATGATGCTATGTGTCAATTTTTTAATTCATTGGGTGATTGATAACTTTTTTTTTTTCGCTTGATGATTTATTTAGTTTTTTATAAAAATCTACCATAAATTTTCTATGTTCTCATGAAACTCATTTCGAAAACTATATTATAGACACATCGAATGATTTAAATGAATATCGAAGATAGTTAATATACATCAAACGTGTGCGTTTAAAAATACGTATAACTCGTCTTTTTTCTTTAAAAAAAATCAATTATTTTATTAATATTTATTATTTTGTCGCAATAATTTTCTCCATATAATTTACATCATTTTCTTTAAAAAAAATTTATGTGCATGACGTCAATTATTTTTCTTTTTGGACATAAAAATTCCTAATAAAATTATTATCACTTTTTAATTTATATGAGCTATAAATTTTTATATTATTTTTCCTACTTTTCTCCATTTCTTTACGCAATATTTATAAAAAAAAAAATATATACTTATCTTCATTCCTTTACGTAACAAGTAATCAAATTTTTAGATTTATTGAAAGAATTAAATAGATATTTTGATACAGTAATATTACCTAAAAAATGACATAGCCCGTGCATTGCATGGGTGGAAAACTAGTACTAAAAGAAGACTCAATTTTAGTTAACGAGTTGATCTGCAGAGAGAAACTACAACGTGCCCAAATTGAAACCAAAATGAAAAGAAATGATTAATTAAAAAAAAAAAAAATTGGGGACCAAAGTGAAACAATTCTGACAAACCTTCACAAATATTTCTGTCACAATGCATTGAAAAGAATTATGTTCTTAACGAAACTGCTAAAGTAATGACAGAAGCAAATCATTGTAAAAGGAGTTTTCATCTTAAAAGGGCTAAAAGAGGAAACAATAATTTTACATTCCTTGAGAGTGCAGTAGAATAAAGACACCACTTTACTTTTTCCCTTCAGGAGGAGCAGCAGCCTGACTTTTGGTTAACGGGTTGTCCACGAATTTGCACGGTTGCAGGTCGAGCATTGTTCATGGCTGGTTGACTGGCCATCCTGAGAGAACATTGGAAGGGATGATCATCCATATCAGAAAAACAGTGCATGTTATCAAAATAAAGTGGTATACTGATCAGATTTAGAAGATCTCTATAGAAAGTTTCAGTAACTTTACGCAACCATTTTTTGTTACTTCTAAGAAAAAAATGTTATTTATTGTGAAAATAACTCCCATATTAAGAGATTTATTTCATACTAATCAAAATGGCTAGTTATTTTAGAACATATGGACTTAAAAGTAAACGTTTTAAGCTTAGCCATGTTTGATACACTACACACTGTAAAATGTCTTACCTGCTCTTAATAGCAGCAGCCATAGCCATGAAAGCCTGCTCCACATTAGTTGAATTTTTCGCACTTGTTTCCATGAAAGGAATTCCAATTTCATCTGCAAATGCCTGCTCAAACAAGGAATTTCGAAATCAATGTGGCTAGCTCATCAAAATGGGCCTGTTCCAATGAGTTTAGATTTGTCTAATTTACGTTGTTTAGAAACTTGGCACATGTTTGTTGTCCACTATTATATAATACTGAACATGACCTTTTCTTGATTCGGAAAAGAACAGGACTTCTTATTCATCTAGTCCTGTCAAGCACTATGTTAAAGAACAAACATGTTTTACATGTTTTACATGTGAGAACCTAAAATACAAGGTGCGTCGACTTACCTTGGCTATTTCTGTAGACACAACTTTCTGTGCTGTGAGATCACACTTGTTTCCAACAAGGAGCTTGTTAACATTGTCGCTGGCATATCGGTCAATTTCACTCAACCATTGCTTGACATTGTTGAAGCTCTCTTGGTCAGTCACATCATAAACTACCTGATAAAAGTGCACCAGGATAAGCCTAATCTATCTCATGGAAACTACACTTGCATGAAAAGGGGAACTGCTTACAATGATGCCATGGGCCCCACGGTAGTAGCTGCTAGTTATCGTTCTGAAACGTTCTTGCCCGGCAGTATCCCACTGCATGTACCAAAAAGCAGAAATGGAAATATCAAATCAAATCAAAGAGTAAATAGTTAAAACAGACATAAGATCAAGACAGTGGCCATGATGGTTTTGTGAAAAGCTATGAGCAAAAGAAAGTTATAGCTCAATGCCTAGAAATATAAAACACAATTTTATAATTCTCTGTTCTTTTATTCTTTTTATCAATCCAATTATCTATTAACACTCCAAAAATTTCACTCTCTTCCCCCCAAAACAACTGATTTTCCATTTTTTTTTTGGATGACTACTCCTCCATCTTAACTCCGACCATGCGCTGATCTCTCTTTAATCCCTAAAAGGGCTACCATTCAAGGGAAGACGGATTACTTCCTTATATCTCCGCCAAAGGGAAATAAACAGGATTCACATCTTGGGAAGTTGGAACCCTAGTTGAGATCAATCCATCATATACGGCCATATAATCAGGTAATTCAAATACTTACAATTTGGAGTTTAATGGTTTTTCCATCCTGTTCCACTGTGCGTATTTTCTACATCATCGAAAATGAGAAGTTATCATGACGCTTAAAATTCTGTAATTGCTAAACCACGCAAAGCAAGCAAATACCATATTAGAACTAATCACTTACAAAGTCTACCCCAATGGTACTAATGTAACTTTCAAGGTAGGAATCATCCTGAAAACAAAGATAAAATCATAGTTAGGAAATGAGTATACGTTTAATATTCAATATTAAACACGAGTGGACACCATAACAAACAAGATTTTAGCTTCATTTTCTTTCTTAATATTGTCCATTGCCCAATGCTATCCCTACCCAACATGCCAATATGGAATTTTACACAATAACCCCTCCAATAGAAACAATTTAGATCCCATTTGGTCCCCATTTTTTAACACTCATTTTTTTTATACAAATTCATTTCAACCACACATTTTATGGAACCCACATTTTTTTTATCAACTTTCAATCACACATTTCATCAATTTCTATCAAAAATTAACTAAAGATATGATTTTTAGCAAAACCAAATAGGGGCTTAATGAGTAATTCTACCAAGTAAAAACGAATAGATTAGACAGATATTATGTAGCTCAAAGGACAGATCATATCAAAGATGAATTAAGAACTTACAGCAAACCTCAGAAGAAGACATGATTTGCCTACACCAGAATCTCCAATAAGCAAAAGCTTAAAAAGGTAGTCACTGCAGATGAAACGCAAAGTGAGTGCACATTTTAATATAGGAGATGAAAAAAGAATTTATATATTTGAAAGAAATCGGAATTCTGGAGATAAAAAGTGTGAAACAAAGTAGAACAAAAGCGTCACATTCCATAATTTCATATACAACAAGATAACAACAATCTAGGGCATCATTCAATTCTGCAAAATAAGGGAAAGAGAAAAGAACAGAATCTATATCACGATTAGATATAAACCAACTCCACCACAATGAAAGTGGAAAATGAAAAAAGTGCAAACAAGTGTTACAAGGCACAAGAGTTGTAGATGCCCTAAATCCACATGTTAATTCATGTTCCCCTTTAGCATGCTGGGCCTACACTGCGACAGGACCTAAACTTTAAAAGTAAAGATATTTGGATCTTCATGTTGTGATTCTCTCATCACAAAAGGGAAGTTATATGAGGGAAAACTATTCTATTTCTTACTGAATGAAATTTACAAGAGAGTTTACAAACTCTAATAAAACAAACTCTTGAACAAAGTGGACTACCTTTTTTTCCATACTTACTGTGCAAAATATATCTTCTATTTATAAGAATTTTTTTTGCACCTACCGCACCAAATTTTCAACAAAAACTACAAAATTGATTGTCTTTACTATGTATATAATTTAGTTGAATTGATGACCAAAATCAAACAAAGCGGTTTCCTCCTTCCTGTGCATATTGAAAATGAGATATAAGAGAATTTAAATTCAAATTTTCCACTTACATGGTGGAGCCTTTTTCATTAAGAAAGTAAACAATTGCGGCTAGAAAATCAACAAATGTGACCAAAAATCAACTATTGCGGCTAGACACATCAATTCCCCCATCCATGTGCGTCTAAATCAATTGTTATTTGACAACCATCCCAACTATGTATCTGCATAGTCCTAGCTTCTCCCTTGGAACTAACTTCGTCAATATGTTCACTAGATTCTCATTTGCGTGGATAAACCAGCCCCTTTACTAGACTATATCAAAACTTTACTTCTCGTTGCTGCTACTTCTTGATTGCTCCATTCTAGAGAAAGTCCGCCTTAGAAGGGCGAGGTTCGAACAAGGAAAGGCTTGCGGTGGATACTAGGCACCCAGAGACGAGGGTCTTCACTAGTCTCAACAGTTGTTGACCTATCAACTCTAGAATCCAATGACAATGGATGCCAATGTTCTTTGTCCGAGAATGATAATTGAGTTCTTACTCAAGTCTAAAGCACTCTGACTGTCACAATATACTTTGTAATATTTCTGCTTTATCCCTACTTTTTGGAGAAATCTATTTAACCACAAGATTTCTTTACCATTACCAGCTTCCGCTGCTACAATATATTATGCTTCTGTTGCAGATAAAGCAACACTTCTGCAGTATTGAATGCCATGACACAACTCTCCCTGCAAAAATGTAGATAAAACCTGAAGTAGATTTTCTACTATCGAGATCTCCAGCCATATCTAAATTCGTATATCCTTCCATAATTAGATCAACTCCCCCTAGCATGGACATGACTTTGATAGACCCTTGAGGTTCCTTAGAATCCACCTTAGTCGAAATCACTCACTTCTCGAGAAAGGTTGCCCTGAGGTTTGGAAAGTTGATGCTCTGGGTTCTACAATCGATTTTTTGGAAAGAACAAAACTCTTCAATATAATGATCAACAAATTTTTCTTATGGAAAAAGAGTTGGTAGGGCAAAAAGATTAGATTCAATTCAGGGGAACCAAACAAAGAAAGCCAATCGAAAGTGATACTCCCTTCCAATTTTCCTTCCTAGGATTAGAGAAAACGGGATTCACCATGCTCATTGCATGAATAATATCCGACCTCGTACATAAAATTGCATATATTAAGCTTTTAACTGCCGAAGAATAAGGTATTAATGACATCTCCTCCATCTCTTTCTTAGATGAGGGGCATGAATTTTTGCTCAACTTGAAGCGGTTGGCCAGTGGAACGTAGACACGTTTGGAATTATACATGTTGAATCTCTTGATCACTCGTTCAACATTTCTTGAGATAGTCATAACCTTTTATTCTTCTTGTCTCGAATTATGTGCATTCCCAAAAACTGATGAGCTGGACCTAAGTCCTTCATGTCAAAGGACTTGGAGAGCTCCTTCATTGCTGATTTTCTTTGCATCTTGTCCAACCAATATGTCTATAAACAATTGAAGATCAACGAAGACACCATCCAGAAATCTCTAAATATAAACAAACTGATTTGCAACAATTCTTTTGTAGCATTGGCTCGCCATGAATGAGTTAAACTTTTTGTACAATGTGTTAGTACTTAATTGAGGCCATACAAGCTCCTCTTTAGCTTGCAAACAAAGTTCTCTTTTCCTGAAACTCCAAAACCTTCTGGCTATTCCATATAAAATTCTTCATGTAGATCACCATGAAAAAATGTTGTCTTCACATCCATTTGTTCAAACTCTAGATTCAATCTGGCTACTAATCTAAGGATAGCTCGAACAAAGGCTATCTTTACAACAGGTGAAAAAATTTCATCAAAATCGATTTCCTTTTCATGTAGAAATCCTTTGACTAGAAACCAGGCTTTACTTTCACCACCTTTCCACTGCCATCTTTCTTGAGCTTGACACCCATTTATTCCTTACTACCTCTTTCCCTTTGGAAGCTCAACTAACTCATATGTTTGATTCTTCCATAGTGATTCCATCTCATTTTGCATCCACTTGACTTTGTCCATATGAGATTGTACTTCCTGCAAGCTCTCTGGTTCCCCTTTATCAAAAAGCAAAAAGTACTCAAACTCTGAATACCTCATTGATGATATTCAACCTCGTTCAAGTCTTCATGCTTGTGCAGTGCTAGTTTCAAGAGTGCACCATCATCTGATTCATGTGATGGTCTTGCAGCTTCTGGTGAAGAGGATTGTGACTTCCTTAAATTAATATCCTCTACTTCATCTTGTTCTACTTCTAGCATTTACTCATGTACCTAATCATTATCTATGGTGGGCACTGAAATTGGAATTAGGAGACATTGTGGGCTTTTCAATATCTTCTAATGTCTAATTTTTATGAAACACTATGTCTCTGATTCTGATGACCTCTATCTTTAGGTCTCATAATCTATATCCAAATTCCTTATCTTCATTGCATATAAAGATGCATGGAGTGGTCATTGCATCAAACTTCTATCTTAGCTTCTTAGATACGTGTATAGGCTAAACAACCAATTACTCTCATGTGAGAATACGAGGTATTCTTACCAGATCATATTTTCTCAGGAATTTTAAAATTCAACGGTAATAAGGGTGATCTGTTGATCAGGTAGTAGGCGGTTTGAACAACTTATCCCCAAAATGACTTTAGCAACTTAGCCTATTGAGCATGCTTTAGAATTTTTTCATGATCTTCCAATTCATTATCTCTGTTACTCCGTTATGTTGTAGGGTGCATGGGACCATCTTCTCATGTCGTATGCGGTGTCTTCCATAGCAGTCATCGAAATCTCTGGAAGTGTACTTGCCTCTATTTGGTTGTTTACCAGACAACCAAATAGACAGTAATTGCAAGGAAGCTACCAATTGATATGTCCAGCCGCAATAGTTGATTTTCAATCGCAATTGTTTCCAACCGCTATTGCTCATTTTCTTAATGAAAAAGGCTCACCATACAAGTGGAAAATTTGAATTGAAATTCTCTTAAATCTCGGCCTCTATATGCACAGAAAGGACGCAACCACTTTGTTTGTCTTCGGCCATCAACTAAACTAAATTATGTATAGAGTAAAGACATCCAATTTTGCAATTTTTGTCGAAAATTTGATGCGGTGGGCAGCATAAAATTTCTTATAAAAGAAGTATTTTGCACCGAAAGTATTGAAAAAAAGGGAGTCCACTTCGTTGAGAGGTTTTTATATTTTATTATAGTTTATAAACTCTCTTGTAAATATTATTCAGTAAGAAATAGAATAATTTTCCCTCTTTGACCTTTTCTTTCATGATTAGAGAATCTCAACAAGTGGTATCAAAATCAGAAATATCAATTGGCCCCTATAGTTTCTGATACAGCTTCAATTTTGATCAAGTCGTTGTCAACTTCCTCGAGAGCTATGATCAAGCTCAAGACCTCCTTAGTTGTAAGGATTTGTACTACCCTAGAAGTCAAAAGTGTAAACCCTGAGCCTACCAATGAGACAATGGAAGAAGCTAACTAGGAAAACTATCGATCAAATTCGACAATGGATTGATCATAGTGTCTTTCACCACGTAGCATGAGAAATAGATGCAAATGCTCTTTGGAAGAATATGGAGGACATGTACCATGCCAAGACTACTCGGAATAAAGCCTTGTTGACCTAATGGCAAACTTACTATGTCTATGGTCAAAAATGTCTGTTTAATGAAAGGCCAGCAAAAAAAGGATGTCGACACGAACTAATCACGTGCTCTCGTCATAAAAAATTGGGAAAGACAACAAGGAGGCAGTCGAGGCAGGGGAAGATGTAGAAGTAAAAGTAAGTGTACATCCACATATGGAAGAAAGCCTACTTACGAGTATTATCACTGTGGCATGGAGGGCCACTTAAAGAAGAAACTGTCGAAAATTTCTATGAGAGCAGAGCCATAGCAGTTCACAGTCGAAGAATAAGGGAGAAGAGACACTATTCACTATCTCAGGAGATGTGACTATCTGCTACATCCATGAGGAGACATCTTCACGTCTCAAACAAGATACTGCAAAATTTTAGCACATCACTCCATGTAGAGACTTCAAAATATATAAACATCGCGACTGCATTATAGATAGAAAATAACATTTCCTCTGAGATAGTAGGAATTGGTGATGTTTAGATACAAACAAACATCGAGTATAAAATAACTAAAAAGGCTGTCTGACGTATGCCAAATCTTCGGCTAAATCTATTTTTCGGGATACCCTTGACAAATAGGGCAATCACAATCACTTTATCAATATCACATGGAAAATGATGAAAGGTGCCATGGTTGTTAGCCGATGATATATTTGTGGCACTTTATTTATGACTCATGTGAAAACGTGAGGCTTCTCAAATTTGTGGTACCAAAGACGGTCACATGATTGAGAACGGCCTGTCTACCTTGATAAAGAAGGAGCTTATCACAACACTTCAAAATATCAAAAGATTTATGTAATATAGCTGGCAGGTGAAACAAGCATTAGCTATCAAAGACATGGTTATTTAGCTTTTTAAGTAGGATAAAATAGTAAAAACTCTCACAAGTAAAAGCCAAAAATTTCACCATTCCTTTATCCCCCAATTCAAAGTTATCCACGGCACTGAGGTTCAAGTCTGAGCTGAAAACTCACCGCCATAAATGAAACAAAATTCACATATATGTCCATTGGAGAACAAGAAGCTAGAAACTCATTAGCTACTCATAAAAGAAAATAAAAGGTACCAGGACTTCAAATACATTAAGCCCTTGTCTGCTAAAAATCAGATTATCAGAGTTAATAAGCCGACTGGTTGAAAATTTGATAATAGTTGTGAGTTCATTGAAATGTGTGCTTAAAGTTAATAGTTAACACTGCCTTACATTTTTATCAATTAGCTAAACCAATTCTGAACAGCTACAACGTCAATACCTTCCAAACACTCCCCTTATATCTATAAAAACAGCTGATCCACCGTTACATATATAAAATATAGACAAAGGAAGGTTTATTTCCATAGATTCAGCTGAGTTCTTCCATATCGTCTGATTATCCATCCAATTTTAGGATCCGATTAGATAACTCTTTTGTAGGGATCTACAGTTCCAATTAAAAACTACCAGAAGCCAATGGGTTCCCGATCGTATCATAATTACATCGATTCAAGTAGGCCCACATCAAATCACCAAATAATAATAATAATAATAAATCAATAAAATAAATACTTTACGATAAAAATATTGGAAACGTACGAACAAATGTACACAGATCTAGTCGAATCATATCATATGACATATAAATCGAATGGATAAAACTAGGACTTACTATTCTGGATTCATGGCCGATGTGAAATTCGAGATCAACTACAAAAAGAGATTGACGAGAAGATGAACGGGTACTTCTGGCTTCCAGCGAAGGTTTAACGGAATATATGAATCGGGGAATATAGAGACATTTATGGAGAGAGTTGAATTGGAAGGATCGTGGGGTTGAGGAGTTTTGAATTTCCAAGAAAATGTCTAAAAGTGTGAAAATGGTGGCCGTGACGTGGCACAGTAAAGCAGTGCTTGCCGCGTGTCATGTGCTGTGCTCCATTTACGAACATGCCCTTGTATTTTCTTTCTTTTTAAAATTTGTCTCTACCTTTTGTCTTGTTCATTTTCTCTTCAAGAATCCTGGTACAACGCGATGCGCACTAAACGCTCTCGTTTGACCCTCTTTCTCTTTCAATTTTTTCTCTCTATTCTTACTTTTAATCACACAATTTTTCATAAAATACTATTACACTAAAATCGAGAAAAATTTCTTTTCAACTGTACATTCTTCAACAAAACACTATTTCAAATATTCAAATTTGAAAGAAAGGGTGCCAAACAGACGCTCGGTACAAAAAGTTTCATCATTTGTAATGACCAAAGCTTTTCATATTATTTTAAATTAAATGTGAAAATAAATTAATTTAATACGCTCATCTTTTGTATACTCACTAAAGTAAAAATATTTTACACCACAACATGATTGGGGGCAAGTTTATGTTAAGAATAAACCCTTTGGAGCAAATAATGAGAAACTTGATTTTGTTGTAAATTTCAATTGATATTTAAAGCTCGTAGGCCTGGGCGTGGTTTGGTTTGGGTTGGTTTTGACCTAAACCCAAAACCAAACCAAAGTAGTCGGTTTGAATGAAATTAAAACCAAAACCAACCCACTCTAATTCTTAAACCGAACCAACCCAAACCACTTCGGTTCGGTTTGGTTTAGTTTGATTTCTCGGTTTTAACTTTTAAATAACATTGCATTGTAACTTATAAAGAACAAGCAAACATTGATGTTACTCTTACACATTGTT